AGTACACAGAGAAAAATTACCATAAAATTAGGAAGTTTTTAAAAATCTCAAAAAAACATTTTTTAAGTGTTAATCGAATATCTAGGTTTTAAAACAACTATTTCTTTATATTATGTTTACATTATAAAACAAAATGTAAATAAAATGTTAAAATCTTTAGAAAAATAATTTGTTGCATACTTTTGGACACCTTTATAATTTAAAGATTTTATTTCCACATTTTTTTGCACTACATTTTTCTCTGTGTCTTGTATTTTCTTGGCTATCAAGAATAGTTCTCCCACTCCCCGCATATCTATAGCCCATTGTAACAGCCTTTAGGTAATTGTGCGGCCATAAATCTCTCCTTTGGCTTACTGCACTGACTCCGGGGCAATTTAACGCCTGTCCGGGTGTTGCTGCCAAATACCATTCCCATTAAAGAGACACCGGGAGTCGGGATGGGAATGGATGTCCAGGTGCGGATTGAGTGGAAAATCGATTCAAGGCAATTAAGGTCAACGTGGAGGAAGAAGGAAGAACAAAAAATAAAAGGTGAAACTGCCTTCAACTTTTTCAATTAGCCAGGTGACCAAAGTTATCGCTCGGAAGAAATCAAAATCAAAACAAGAGAGAACGCTATAATCGAGTGCCTCGACTATTAGATACCCGTTACTCAGCTAAACAACTTAATAGAAATATGCCTCCTTTTTTGTTTTTCGAAGCTGGAATTAGCTCCCGTTTTTTACCCAGGGAACTCCACGTGGAGGCCTTCTAAAACTTTCAATTCTGCCTAGCACATCTTCCGTCTCTCTCTAGCGCAGGTGAATGCACTTGTGAAAAACGAATACGAGCAAAAAGAGACAAAATGCGCGCCCTTTTCAAATAATTTAAAATTTGCAATAACATATTGTGAATTAGTGTGACCACAGAAAAAAAGGACAAAAAGTTCAAATTAACCATCTGAATAGATGGCGCTATTGTATATTGAATTGAGCCATCTACCCCAAGATATTGGTACTACTGGCCATGAAAGGCGGAAATGTAGGCGCTAGACAGGTTTAAGCGTTAAATGGGTTTTGCGGGCGTTAGAGTGGGCGTGGCAAACTTTTACTTGGCCAATCGATATGTATTGACGAAACAAATACATATCAGTTACTATTTTCATAATAGCTTCAAAACTGTGGGCGATAGAGAGGGCTAGTGGGCGTTAGAGGGGGCGTGGCACCTTTTTGAAATAAACTTGCGCTGCGTAGGAACTCCCAGAATCTGCATGCAAAATGCCAATCTTCTAGCTTTTATAGTTTCCGAGATCTCAGCGTTCATACGGACAGACGGACAGACAGACAGACGGACAGACGGACAGACGGACATGGCTAGATCGACTCGGCTAGTGATCCTGATCAAGAATATATATACTTTATGGGGTCGGAAACGCTTCCTTCTACCTGTTACATACTTTTGCACGAATACAATATACCCTTTTACTCTACGAGTAACGGGTATAATTACGACCACGCAAACATCAAACCCAGAAGGCAAGTGAAAGGAAAGAAAAACTTTTTGGGGGCATGGGATACGTAAACTTAGGGAACCCTTTACCAAAAACCAGAGAAAACCCGTCAATAATCCCGATTAGAGCATGTGTATATGAAATATTTATGCTGTGGTCTGCAAATGGAATTTGCTCTACGAAAAGGTCGTCCCAAAACAACACAAACATGAATAATGGATGGAAAATACAGCACAGTCTTCAATTCGCTTTAAAGTCATTTTGGTCATCTTTCAGTTCATTTTATGGCAGGTCGGGCAATCATAATGAAATTCCCTTTTATTGCCCCAAAGTATGCAGCACACATTTTTCGGGGCCTGGAATGATTTTTATCCCAAACCAGGCCCACTCCTTACTGCCCTTAATTTATTGTTTTAATTTTTAGTCGCACGGCCACAAAATGGCGTCCTGAGCCTCCCGAAAAACCCGGGAAAACTTTCGGGGAAAGTGTTAAGAACTCGTGTAAATTCCATTAGGGCTAAAAAGTTTCTGGCAAAAAAGGGGGAAAACCCAGGGGGTGGTGATTCCAGCCGAAGGCTATGTCAAGCGCGATAAATCAGAAAAGGCAGGAGCGAAAAAGCATCTACAAGACAAAGTGAGAGGAAATTTGGTAATTAAAATCAACGCGTGGCTGGAATTATGCAAGGACTACGGGACTATAAGCTATAAAAATGCAAATTTCTTTCCAGGACCCGAAAACAACATCGACTAATCAATGGTAATTGGATTGGCGTGGGAAATTTGCAAGTTACTCGCCGCTTTTCTTGGCTTTGCGAACAAATGTAGGAATCTAGAATCTATAAATATGCAGCGGCAATTACGCATCTGAAACAGATTGCACCGCTCCCAAAGATAAGCGACCTTGAGCCAGCTGCCAACTGAGTGACAAGCTCATTAGGCGGAGAGAGAGAGAAAGAGCGGACGGTGCACTGAAAAAAAAGTATTTTAAACCTTTAGTTAAAACTTTAAAGGCAAGTAGGGTTTGAGTACTTAAATATTCGTTATATATTAAGAAAACGTCGTAATAAATTTATTATAAAACCAAAGTTTTATAAAATTTAAGTTTTATAACTTTAAATTCAAACATTTTTAAAGTTAAAATATATTAAAAAAAAATGTTATATTAATATAGTTTTATTACTTTATAGTTTCATTGATTTGTTGTTGTTTCAGGACCTTTTCTTGAACGGATTTTATTGATTGTTTTTAAAACATTACAGTAGCGATATACTATATTTATATATATTTATATTTTAAGTACAAATACAAATGAGTTAACTCAATAATCTTTATTATTTGCCGTGTGGCAATCATCACATGTCTGTTGCGTTATGGGAAACAGTTATCACACAGTTAATAAATCAAGCCAAGCCCCAGAGTAAATTAAAACCAAAACAACACCACATCCCATATAAAGAGTGAGAAAAAAGGAACCCAAAAGGTAAACAAAGTTCAAAGAGATTCTTCAGTTGGCAGTCTTTCAAAGGCTCTCTCTCTCTCTCTGTTTTCCACTCTCTTTTTGCTTGTGTAATATTGTTTTTATTCAATTAGGCAAACAGCAATTACAAAAGCAGCAAAAACAAATAGGTCGACTATTTACAAGCAAACCAATATATTTGTTGTCATTTAAATGCACACGAGTGGAAAACGGATAGCAAATAAATATGGAATGTATTCGAATAGCTGACACACTATTTCCGGAAAACATCAAAGGGAAAAGGATCAAAGAGAATTATGGGTACTTTATTCAAAGTAATACCAATTTTATTTATGACATAAGTCTCATATATTACAAAAACTATATTTAATCTTCTGGAAAGTATTGGATTTGAAATTGTTTTTAATTAAATATACGTGTATACCAAACTTAACATCATTAAGCTATTTCGGTTTTCTATTAGATCTCTTCTGCTTAAACTCTCCCCCACTTTTTTTATGGAACCCACACGCATTGCGTAGTTACACAATCGATTTGTAAGAAGTTTAATCAAGAATTGAACAATTGAATCAACTTGATTGACGCAGTTAAAAGAACAATGAAGACACGAGAGAAATGAATAAAATAGGGGTCAATCAACGAGAGAGGGGAGGCTAATCACATGTTGTGTGAATTAAAAGCAAATTGTCAGCATTCATTTGCACCGCATCACTGCATTCGTCATCAAGTAAGGGGTGCACAGAGAGAAATCAGGTACTTAATGTTTTGAAATAAACAAAATAATTAAAGCAGTTTTCAGATTTTTCTAAGTTTTAAACCAGTTTCTCTACAAAATTCTTTTTAGACATATGTTATATCATAACATAAGATTTATTTTTTCCCGTGTCTAAAAACGAATTCATTTGACCAAGTGAAAGTGTCTGATGATTCCCATGCTGCTAATTCCTCTAAGCTACCGAATTAACGAATTTGTATAAAATTCGACACGAGTCTCTAAACACAAAAAAAAGGTGCACAATTAAAAATGAATTTGTATTCGTTTGGTAAAACAACTAAATGCGACCAAAAAACGTTTATAAAAGTAACCATTCTGCTTTTTCCTGTTTCATTTTTGTTTGAAAAGCAGGCAAGTGTGAAGCTCGAAAAAAAATATAAAAAAGAAAAACGGAACAATGCACAAATATTTGCTCATACACGCTTAAATTAAGTAAATACAAAATCGTGCGGGGTACTTACCAGTCGAGCTGAAAAAAAGGGGGTGGGTTGGCATGGAGGGGTAAATGGGGGCTTTCTGGGGGCGGCAGAGGTGCTTCTTCATTAGAGACATTGTTAATTTATTATTCATTGTTGACCCGCACGTGGACTCACGCAACGTCCGTTAAAATAAAATATATATTATACACGAAAAACAAGAAAATAAAAACGCAAATGGAAAAGGCACGAAACGGAGAGAACGTAGAAAATATCGAATGGATTATGAATATGGAAATTGAGGAAAGGGAAATTCGATTGCGGGATGCTAATTTTTTGGCCTGTTATCAAATGAAAAATCTGGGCCATGCGTCAATTCTGCGGTGACAATTCAATAAATGACGGATTAGAAAACCAAATCGATGCGAAAAAAGAGAGAGGGGGAAAGCTTACATAAAGCACCAACTGAGGCGCAGAATTCTTTATGCAAATGTCGAGCACACGCACCAACCACCCCCTCCAAAAAGGAAAACACCCAACCACCCACAATTACCACCCGCCAGTTCAAGGCTGTTCAAATATTTCGAGAGCGGGGAAATTAAATTCGGTCGATTACAGATGGAAGGAATAAAGAGAATTTCACTTCCCGCTTGGTGGCTTAATTAAAAGATAAAAAAATTACCCCAAAAAAATAAATGTAATGAGCAAATATCCGGCATTGTTCCGGTTCCATAGAAAATCGAAAATTTCTACCTAAAATTGGCTCAATTCGGTATTTTCGGGACCCGTTTCTTCTACAATTAGTATAATATGGTATACAATAGGATCTGACTGACTCACCTTATGACGTAGTTAACGCAAACGACACTCTGTGGCTTTAGTTTATCATAGACAATCGTGGCCTGGCTAAGAATCCAGCAATAGCCACCATATTTTCCCAGAAATCGGTAACGAGAGGTTTCACCCTGTCCCTTGCTCAGCACTGCAAAAATATAAAGAAAATAAATCAAGGAATTAGTTGGGTTGAATAAATTCAAGTAATAAAATAGTTAAAAGCCCCCCGCTTGTAAATGTGGTTCAAGTTTGCCCCAATGCTCTTGGCAGAGAAATCAATCGCATAATAACCGCCACCACAAAAACAATAAACAAAATCTTCTGCGGTCTAAAATACCACCCCGCCCATTAAATGTGTCATAATCGAGATACGGAGCTATTGAACCAGATACAAAACCAAATCGGTTACATTTTGGCACATTCCTTGTACTCCAGAGATCTTTTGGCCTAAACAGATAGTCAGGAAGTATTACCATGGTTACTTGTATGGGTGGTAACGAATATACACAGGGAAAATATTTAGTTGAAATTTTAAAATATTCACCAATTGCATTTTAAAGTATTTATAGACTGACAATTTCATTTTTGAATTGTTATAATGGAATCTTAGTTAAAGAATTACATTTTTAAATATACAAGAAAAAGTATAAAATCTATAAAAATAAAAATAAAAAATAATCTATATGTTTATCCATTTAATGGATTCCCAATTACTAAAATCTTTATTTAAAAATGTAAAACTAAATTAATTTTTATCATTTAATATGAATTAAATTCGGTATACACTTTTCATCGCAGTGTTTTTTCAGCTGGTTGGCAAATTGTCAAGTCTCAAATTACGGCGCCAAAAGCGATGGGGCATAAAAATTAAATAATAGCAACTTGCTTTGCGTGGGGCGCAAAAAAGGGGCGTGGCAGGAGGGTCTTAGGCATTTTGATTGAGCCTTCTTCAGTGCGAAAGAAAGAGACAGCTGGGCCGAGAAAACGTTGCCAAGTAATTTGGCCCAACGAGGACGCCACATAAACTCGATTTTAATTAAAAGCGCCACCCAAACCTGTAGGAAAAAAAAACGAAAAATAATATAAATGTAAAGGACCCAACCACGTAGGTAAAGCTTTTATCTCGGTTTTTGTGACAGCTTTTCCTGGCCCCGAAATCGTTTCAATCAAATTTTTATGGACGCCACTGGCAGCGACAAGAACATGAAATAAATGATGAAAATTCATAGGAATTCGGGCAAAAAGCAATTGAAATTCATGGATGCTTTTTCAGCACAGGTCCAGAAATCGGGATTAGCTTAAGTGCCTCACAGGTCACAGGTGCGCAAAAGAGGGTAATATCCTGTTTAAGTCGCAGCAATAAAAATACATTTGCATAAAAAACCCCAAGAATTAATTGAATTACTAAAGTTTGTAAGTGTCGAGCTACCTTTGCTACAATTAAATTAAATAATTTATTACAACGGGGGTTTTATAAAAGTAAGACGAGCTACGTTTTAAAAATTGCGTAAATTTTTTCTTTATATTATAATTTATTTTTTATGTATAAATATGTTTTATATAAATAAAACAAGAACTTAAGAAAAATCCAGAATAAATCTAGAAATTTTCTAATGAAACGCACTGTAGTCCCAGGCTAAACCTCAAGCAAAACATCCTTCGTCTCACTCTGATTTGTTCCTTCATTTATTCATTCAGTTAATTCGAAATCAGCAGCAGAAAATTAGTTTTTCCTTTTCTTTGCTGCTCAGTGGCTTAGTGGTCCCGTTTTCTTGCCAAAAAATAGAGAAAAGAAAATAGCGCGGCAAAACGGTTGGGGTAATTATGCGGGGTCATTAATAAGACAAGATCTAAGGAGGCCTCCTAGAAGCCCTCAAATTCTGCTGACAGCTCAGTGAGATTGATGCGAGGAGCAGGACATATGTGGAAGCTGGTCAAATTAAGTCCTTAGGTCAAGGAAAAAGGGAAATGCCCCAAGAAAGTATGCTATACAAAAGTGTGCACTAAATACTAAGGGTTTTTAGTGTTGTTTAGATTTTTAAATAAGTTTGAAAATGGGAAAAACAATTCCTACTCTACTATGAAACTTTTTATTTTTCAATAAAAAATTATTAAGAATAATTGAGAAATAGGTTTAATAAATTAAATATTCTTTTTAAATATACGATATTCTAAACCTATGATATTCGGCAAATTTTTAATTTTTGTTGTTTAAAAGACCTTTTTTTTGGATTCAGCACTTTTGTAGAAATGTAAAATAATTGTAAAAGTTTTAATAAAGTTAAGGAAACTTAAATATTATATTTCTTGTTCATAAAAGGAGTTTTCTAACTAGAAAAGAATAGCTAAACCAACCAACACCGCCTTAGAGCTCAGACGATTGCCATTTGGCAGTGTTTATGTGGAATTAGCAAAGTGAGCAGACGGAAAGGCAGCAGAAGCAGCAGCAGCAGGAAAATCAACTGCAGTCGGTGGAAAAGCAGCTGCAGCAGTGAACTTGATTTGCCCTCAGCCAAGGACTTTTCCCATGGACCTTTGCCGGCATTTTGAGCTTGAGCTTGAGACGGAAAATATTAAAATATCTACGCGCGGCAGCAGCAAAGATCATTTATCAGCAATTTTTTAGCAGCATTCCTTGGCTGCCATTTGGAGCCATTTGCCATTTTCCATTGCCATTGGAGCTGCTGCTCCAACAATTTATGAACACGAATGCAATCCGCTTTTCGCATGGCAATGGCCATGGCCATGGCAGTGGAATATATCCAGGACTTCGAAGGAGTGTGGGGAAAAAGTGGAAGGAAGCTGGCCATTTGTACAAATAATCAAACAGAGAAGTTGGTAAAAGGGATAAAACCAGACTCTATTCGAGTCGAATGGAAGACAAACATCAAAACCGCATTCAAGGTTATGTATCAAGCGGGATGAGCACGGCATGTAGGAGGGATTCTGGTGAATCGCAGGATGCAGGATGCACAGGATGTGGATGTGGGATTCAGGATGCGCACAATGCATGCTCAGACACGCTCGAGTACACGGGCAAATCCTGGCAGCAACACAACAGTAAATCATCATCAACGCAGCGCACGAACCGAGAGTTGCCAAAAGGATCAGGAGAACAGGTGCAGCAGGTCCTTAATAAGGTGAATTCTTGAACAGGTCAGTTTCTGGGTTTAATTTTTATAAGTTGTTTACCAATGTAAATTTTGCTAATTCTAATTTTTACATTTATGTAAAATATAAAATAATTAAAGCTCTTTAAAAAATATATAAATACAAATTTTAGAATTTTTCGGAATGAATCAGTTTTCTTCCTTCAGCCAGAGTTCACTGTACCCCATTCGTTTGCTCATCCTGATTGCTGACCAGAGTCCAGCGTTAAGGGCAAAGAATGAAAAGAAGATGGGTCGAAATCACATTGGCACAAGTGGATAAGGAAATAAATGTTTGGCTTTGGCTGCCCAGGGATGTGCGCATAAATCAAGGATTTGTTTGCGGATTGTTTCGAATATATCCAGAAGCACAAAGGTAGTTGACTCGGGAGCGTCTTAAATTTAGACGTAGCATTGACCTTTTGGCCTTCGCTTAAGGGCGGCCACGTGGCGTATGCGTAATCTGTCCTAATTGAATTAAGCCGTGACATAATCCCCAATCCACAAAGAAAGCGGTCTTAAAGTCAATATGTGCTGGGGAATATATGCAAATTTCTTCTGCTCTCTTTTTCTCTATTTTTATTTTTTTACTATAGCTTATTGAATAAAGGAGCTGGGGCACGATTTTCCTGCGTCTTCATAACCCGCCAGTCGTGTGGAAAATTGCATTTTACCACCTTTTTCGGTTGGCAGCAAAGACAGGACATTACACAGGACTAGAAAACCAGGGGAGCAAAGGAAACTCAAGTCCTAACGACTTGAAAGGGTTTCTCCGGGCATAATGCCAACTTACTGCCAAGAAATAGAGTCTTAAAGCCGGCCATTATAAGTTGGAGTTGCCTGCAGTGCCCATAAATGGGTTAATGAATGTTCCGCAGGACCTCTTTGTCCAGTTAAAGGAGAAGTTTTGTCGGAGGGTGGAATATATGTATGTATTATATGGCATACAGCATAGGCCAAGTTTTGTGGTCGTAGGGGGGAATATTTCAAGGATCCCTGGTATAATATATGTGCAGCAGCTGCCCCGAAAAGGAAGGACATTTTGGTAGACCGCCCGCAGCGAGAAAAGTCGACAAGTTAGTCGGATTCGATGGAGCCCATTAAAAACTACTCAAAATGTCAGCGGGAATATAAAACCACACGGGGCATGTGGCCAAAAAGGACGAACCACAAAATGTAACAAATTTGCTTAATTTGCTTAATTTGCCATACTGAAATACTGTTTTGTGTTTAACGCAAGAAAATCTTACAGTGCAAAAAATATAGATTTTTGGAGTATATTTTAAAAAATACAGAATCGCTATTAAAACACTAAAAATACTATTTTCCTTAAAAGAAACAAATTTAATATGTTTTCGGAATTTAAAGAAGATATAAGGTTAGAAAAGAATGAAATAAAAATAAATTGTATGACAAATAAATATGCAAACATTGAATTGCAAATAATCTTTTCCATTCAAAAGAAAAACAGTTATTTTTCTCTGTATGTCAAATAAGAAAATTTCAAATTCCCGGTGAAAAAGCGGCAGAAAAAGCAAAGAAAAGCGGCGAAGGAAACAACGGAAGTTGGGCAGGGGCACAAAAAAGTTAATTGAAAACAAAAGTCAAAGAATTTGCATATTTATTTGCCGCACAGCCTCAGACTTTCGACTCTTTGCCCACAAGTCAATATTTATTTATGCGTGCGGAAAATTTAAATCACTTAAAAGCTGACAAAGCAGAAGAAAACTAAAGTGCAGCACACCGCTCTCTTTCGCTTTCGCTTTGTTTTGCATTAATTAGAATTTAACAAAAATAAATGCTGGGTAATTGAAAACTTTCTCCCCTTTTGCCAAAAGCGAATCCAGCCATTATGCTCATTAATTCCATTCGCCTGGAGAAAATACATATCTCCGCCTCCGATGGCATTCATTTAATTAACTCAATTTGAGCGGAAGGAAAGACATCATCAAGACATCAAGAGGGAGAAACTGGGATTGGCAACTGCCTGCAGGTGTTG